TTCTTAAGGTCCATTGCGTTATCGTTTTGTATGTACAATGGAAACACCCCCAGGGCATATCCCTTCTGTGAAGCAGAAGCTCCATTGATGTCTCCCACCAGCACACAATGGATAAATCAAACCGACCTCGTGGGAAGCCGATTGGGGGTTCTGTGTCGTGATTCAGCTCCCTGTTTGAAATGCTGCCCTTTGCGGCGAGAGGGCGCAGTGAAATCCACACACAATGCTGTACCCACGACCGTATGGCCTTGCTGATTGGGATGTAAGCTGTGTGCTGGTCAAAGCGCTCGGAAATCCCGTTCTGTTGCCTGGACAAAGCGAGGCCTCTCGGAGAAGCAAAATAAAGCGACGGGGTTTCGTTTGGTGGCTCTTAGGTGAGGTGGTTCCAAATCCTTATGCAGGTGACTGGCCCTGGTGAGGCCCCTCCATGGGGAGCAGGATACAGGGAGAGGGAGAAAGGGATTAGTGAGCCAGCTTGAGGTCTCCCAAACTGGCACCATCCTGCATCCATTCTCCCGGGCACCCAAGGACAAACTAAGATCATTGGCCCGCATGAGGGGATCCCAAGGAGGGAGCGCACTGGCCCCTCGGCGCTGATGGATTTCCGTGTTAAAGTGGGTGGGAATCGCCTGGACGTGATGGTTTGTTTAGGAGGCAGTTTTTATAGCTTGTGGGATGGCAATGTTCATTTCGTTTATTTGGCGAGGTGTCAGGCTGCAGGGCAAAACTATGACTGCGAAATCACGGGGCACTGGTGCCATTCCACACGGAGAGCTGGCAGGACGTAGGCTTGGCAGCAAGTTGGGCATCACACGTTGGCCTCAGTTTCCCTGGAATCTGATGAATGCCATTCCCGGTCCTGCTTGTGCTCGTTTCATTCTCTTTGGAGTTCACTTTCCGTATTGGATCCCTCCGCACCCTGGAGCCGGTGAACGTTTTTTGACTCTGCCTATTGTAAAGGGGTTCGTTTGAATCAGGTGTTCTACATGGCAGTCAATCCCATCCGGCTGGAAAACAAGGAGTTCCTGGGTCCCATTCCTGGGTCTGAGATGCCGTCAGCAAAGTACCGAGCCGTTGCCTCGTTCCTGGAGCTGGGCGCCACGTTTTTATTGAATATTTTTTTGCCGATATCAAAATGCTGAGAAAAAGTGTCAATTTGACAACAGCGCGTTTTGCAAAACCTCCCCCTACGAAGCGATTGGATATTATCCTAGCTCGACATTTTTGGCGTGGACCACTGTGATTTTTCAGTTTGAAATGATTTTTGACATGAAATGTATTTTTTTATATTTTTAAAAAAGTAAAAGGGTTTCCAAAGGTTGAAATTGAAATGCAATGTTTTGATTGTACCAACATGAAACGTTTCCATGGACCCAAAGTGATTTTTCCTCCCAGAATTTCCTTTTGCGGGAAAATTCAATTTTTTGGTTTGTTCCAGGTTTGGAAGGGAACAAATTTAGAAACTGTGAAATTCTTTTGAAATGAAAAATCCAGGTCCTGCCCAGCTCTACTCATTTCTCCACAATGCTGCAGCACTTTGGAATTATTTTGGGGAAGTCCCATGGCCTGTGCGATACAGGAGGTCAGACTAGACGAGCACAATGGTTCCTTCTGGCCTTGGTATCTATGGACTTCTGTGTCTTCAGGTTGTGACATGGCTTGGATGACACGATGTTGCTGCATCACCATGTGCTGGTGAATCACCCCAATGAGAGAGCAACATCTTCAAGTTAGAACATGGTAACTATGACCCTCAGCATCAATTTAGGGCTTTTCAATGACCTGTGGGTTGTGAAGCAATTTCTGGGCATGTGGTCCAGAGATGGATCTCAGTTCAGGGAACATCCTGAAGGTTGGATGGAGGTTTTCATTGTGTGTTTTCTCCTTCTCCTCTCTAGCACCTTTCATTCCAGGATAACAAAGTGTTTTGTGCATATTAATGTGAAGCCTCAAAACTCCCTTTTGAGGAAGTATCATTAGTCCCACTTTATAGTGGAGAAAACTGAGACACAGAAAGGTGAAGTGACTTGCCCAAGGTCCTACAGTGAGTCAGTGGCAGAGTGGGGATTAGAAGCCAGGGGTCCTCAGGAATGAAGCATCTCCTAAAGCAGAAGGAAGCTAGACTAGTCAGCTCTTCAACCATTACACCATCCTGCCCTTTAACCAGTGCACTCTCCTTGCCCTTATTAGAAGTGTTTGTTCATCGGTAGTGGCAACACTGATGAAATCTTGGCCCTAGTGCAGTCAATAGCAAAACACCCATTGACTTCAATGGGGGTCAGAATTTCACCTGATGTCTGTAAATTTTGCATAGGGCCCACCTGCCCCTGAGCACTAACTAGCTCATGTTCGGGGAGGATTAAGGTGAAATGGGACCCACAAACCACACCCCTGCTTTAGCCCCTTTGCCAGACAGACGGTCCTTCCTACACCCCATCCATCCGGGAAATATTCTGCTGTGAGAACTGCTGGCTCGTCAGCCACGTGGAACCACCAGACACAAATGTGACCTGCCTGTGTAGGGAACATGGGACAGTTCAAACAAGCACAAAAATGGCCATCAGGGGAATCTGCCAGGACCCCAGAGAGAACCAAGCCTGGTACAGGGTCACTCTATCCCCTGCCTGGAGTGGTACTTCCTGGAATGAGATCTGCTGTCTGGCTAGCATTGGGTTACCAACCCCGCTTGTCCTTCTCTGAATGGCACAGCCTTGTACAGTCATAGATTTTAAGGCCAGAAGGACTCCAATGATCAGCTAGTCTGACCGCCTGTATACCACAGTCCTGAAAATGTCACCCCGTGATTCTGGCAGTAGGACAGCCCGTTTCCATTTAAAGCCTCCCGGTGATGATGAATTTGCCAGGTCCCTTGCTAACCTGTTCCAAGAATTATTTCCCCTCGGTGCATCTGGTTTCCCTTTTGAACTTTCCTGGCTGCAGCTTCTAGCTGGTGGATTTTGTTCTGCCTCTGCCAGCTACCTAAAAGAGCTCTCTACGACTGATATATTCTCTTGGCATAGGTATGGATGGATAGGGCTTCTGAGTTTAGGTTTTAACTGATAAACACTGATCAAACACCCCGGATACAGAACCCAAAACAAACCAGTGTTTATCCAGTCAACACTGAAAAACACCAGGAATGGTTTCTCAATTCACGTGGATTTCACCCCTTTCCCAGCCCTGTGTGTTTACATAGGTGATGTCCCTACTCACTGGCTTGTATCTATGGGCTTGTCCACATGGAGCACCACTGCGGACTACAGGAGTGTGACTTCTAAAGCGCACTAGCGTGTTGCGCATTAATTGGTCTGTGTAAACCTTGCTGGTGTGCACCAGTTTCCCTACTGCACACGAACATGGTGCAGTTTGCAGCGGTACGAGGTGTATATCCAAAGGGAAAGCCCTGAAAATAACCCAGTTTTTTGGATATTTACACAGAACTCAAAAATGGCTAAAAATACCCTTCCCCAATGAAATTAATAAACCCTGAAAAATAGGACCCTACTCACGGACCACAAATAAATTGCCTTTTAACCATCTTGGATAAACTAAGCAGATGGAGCTCCATTAGACTCTCACTGGAAGGCAGGTTTTGCAGACCTTGAATCAAATGTATAAGTTTTTTCTAAACCTTTGCCAGTGGTTGATCATCCTTTTTGAAGTGCAGACACCAGGTCTGGATAAAGTCTCTCCAAGGCTGTAGATGGAGGTAGGGCCATGGAGTGAGAGGGGTATTTCAGAGAAGACGCTCGCACTCTTGATAGAACTTAATAACGCTGAGCAAAGACTTTCGGAGGAAGGTCAGTACAAGGAGATGGGTGTAGGTCTGTGTCATAGGGTTGGATGGGAAACGGATTCCCCATCCCATGAACATTTTTCAGATTTTGAACATTTTTCCCGTCCCAAGTTGGGATGAAAAGTGGAGCTCTCGAACATTTTCATGCCCCCCCCACAACCGCCCTCCTCCAAATTTCACTTCGGGCCAAGTGAAACA